AAATACATGCCACTTTTTGTGATAATGATAATTTAAGAAAAAATGTTTCTTCATGTTTTTTTCTCATCTCTTTCTTAGTGGTAAAGTGTTTATGTAGTGTTGATATCAATTTATCAGACAGGACAAGCTAAAAAGAGAACTAAAACTAGTAAAAAAATCATTGGAACGAGCTTGGAATGTGATGGTATTATATTATGATGCCTGAGTACTGAGCTTGTATCTGTATCTGTATAGCCGGTATAACCGCCTTTCGGCGTAACACACCAGCTTCGCAGGCACGCGGCGCGACGGCAGCTGGCTATATCACACCGAACGAACGACTTGTTACACCTAACCCTTGAACATCTAACTTTAGACATTGTTTAAAGCTATCTAATGACAATGCCCCTACTGTACTTGGTGACAGTGAGTTCCACTCTGCGATAGTCCTAGGAAAGAATGAATTCTTGAGCACCTCAATCCTAGCTCAATAGGTCACTCCCAAAGTTACAGCTAAAAGAATGTTGGAACGAGTTTGGAACTTGTGATGGTACGGTACTATGATGCCTGAGTAGTTAGTTTGTATGATCCTAGCTCAACAAGTCAGCCGCATGCATGGGGCGGTTGCTCCTCCTTTAGGCAAGGTATTTCTGACAGAGATGCTCGTCATACTCTGTAATAATAGTTTTGATACTGAAGCCAACGATAAATTTCTGAATCAGTGTGTTTGTCTGAGGTGAAAACTGATGTGACAGTGACACTGTTAGAAATATTGTCAAAGGCTTATGTATGTAACATTACTTAATTTGAGGAAAGTGGTAACTTATAGGTGGGGCAACCTAAAATTCTGATGAGCAACCTAATTTTTGCCGTAGGTTGAGTGGGCAACCTGGTTCAAAAAAGTATTTTGTACACTGCCATAGATAACAAGTACCATTCTGATGATACAGTCTGATTGTAGAGTCTGATGGACTGATGTAGGAAAGAGTTCTGAAGTCTTTTTGTTCAGGCTTTTTTGTTGGAAAACTTCTTCACACCGTTACTTCTAATATCGTGACAAAACAATTTTCCGGTGAGTGAGTCAGTAAATCGTCTCAGAGCTGCCGCCGGCTCTGCATCTGTACCTGCTAAATGATCTACCGGTGAGGCTCAGGAAAAAAAATGTTCTGTTTCCTGTTTCCCGACCGACCGAAGAAAAAACTGCCAACTAGCCTTCTTTTTTGTGTGAACCCCTGCAAGGGACTTAAATTTTGGGGGCTGATGGACCTTTTCAAGCTCCATGATCTGACACCTGAGTGATGAAACGTTGTACAATCGGTTTTCCAACATTAATATAGAAAATACAAGTGTCCTTGTGCAAGTTTTACTTTTAATTGGCATGATTTTTAGTACTTTTAAGTAAAACTTGCACAATTTTTATAAAATCTTTATCTTATATAAATTAGATCACTAGAGATCGCCAAAGGCCCCCCTCAATAAAAAAGATACAAAAAATAGAAAAATATAATCCCTACCGTACCTACTGACGCTAATTTTTTCAGCCCTGAAACAGGAAACATTTTTTCCTAGGCCTAATGAGCACACTCCAGTCTTCCACCTGTTCTGCTGCGTTCTGTTCTGATCTGCATCACAATTCAAACCTCACAATCAGCCATCTAATTTTCCCCTCAGCTGACCACAGACATAATGTTATTGCACATTAACACCCGCACCCTCGGAAAATTGTTAATTGCAAAACCAATTAACGATATAGATGTAACCGTTCCACTTGAGACTTGGGATGAATATTAAGCGCAGACTTGGAGTTGACAGATCCATCAGACAGGCTTATACATCTCCCAACTGATTCAGAGATGCATCTTGTAACTATTAATTCACGAGTCTCACATATTTCAAGGGAAGAATTTTCATCAAATTTTGCACCTATTCTGTAGCCAGGATATAATTCATCTCTGAGTAAAGTCTGCCGGGTTTTGTAATTAAGTTTAAGACCCTACAAGGAATTATGACATTGAATTATCGGAATTATCTCGCTTCAGGCAGAATTCATATAGACTTTACATGTAGTTAATGTGATGTTTCTATTTGTATTATATGTCAATTTTGATTGAGATCATTCACATGTTGGTAACGTTATCAACATAAATACAAAGTTCTAAAGCCTTCTTGACTATATAGCATACTTGCTCTTAATTGCAATGTTCAGAACTAATAATTTTTCTTTGTACTGTTACATTCACAGTTAATGTTAGCCTCCGTGGCAGGCTTATAGAACTGGGGGTTTGGTGGTCTTCGGCTGTTTTCTGATTAGCCCAGTTCTAATTTCAACCAGGCCGGCTATGTTGTCTATATGCAATCAGAAAATAGCACATAAAAGCTCCCAAAGACCCTGAAGACTGTTTTCAACTGTTCAGGGCAAAATATGAGCATTTTGCAGTTGATTCTGAATTTTTATTTTCAAATCAGAAAAAAATGAAGCGGGCGAATCCATTAACCAAGAAATCAAATTGGTGTGGCCTTAAGTTTAGTTTGCACAGTGTACAGTATTGTGAAGACCTAATGTCATTGGAGATGTAAATAATTGTACAAATCTTGTCAGAGTAATATGCAAAATGCTCATATTTTGCCCTGAACAGTTGAAAACAGTCCTTTTCATCCTAGTTGTTACAGTTATTCCATCTTTCAATGCAATGGTATCATTAAAAGTTAAAAATTCATTGTTTAAATTTTGAACCAGCCTGGTGTGTTGACTTGATGGCTCCTATCGTACCATTTTGGGCCATAACAGGATGCCTAGGCCTGTTTTTAGTTTAATTTTTTTTTGGCCTGCCCGCTCCATTATTTTTTTTGGAAAAATCCGTTAACCAAGAAATTAAATTGGTGTGGCCTAATTGCAATGTTGAAAAGTAATATTTTCCCCCCACTGTTCCTCAGTACACTGACAAGTAAGATTTACTGGACTTTATTGATTTTCTGTGCCTTACATCTCCTCAGCAATAACTAAATGCCATTAAGTATCATGTTCCTGTTCCCCTGGATTATGTTCAGTTTTACGAGGCTATATTTATTGATATCTACTTTAGACAATAGAAAAAAAGATGCATATCAGTTTGCCGTGGACTCATGGGGACTCCGCAACTGTTATCTATAATTTTCCACCAAGCATCCAATACTTGACCATAGATTTGTGAATTAGTATCAATGTCAGATCTTTGTGTATTAAGGTAGCACAGAGGAATTCAAGTCAATGATTAGGAAAGTTAAAGGAGCAAATCATCAAATTTTTGTGCTAAAAAAATAAGATATGGTTGACCTTCTAACTGGTAGGCTGGATTTCAGACTAGGCTAGTACACAGGCTAGCTCCTCGGCTCCAGGGCTAGTCTGGGTGCCAGACTGTTGCCAGGGCCAGTATATACAGGCTAGCTCCTCGGCTCCAGGGCTAGCCTGGGTGCCAGACTGTTGCCAGGGGCAATATACAGGCCAGCTCTTCGACTCCAGGGCTAGCCTGGGTGCCAGACTGTTGCCAGGGCCGGTATACACAGGCTAGCTCCTCGGCTCCAGGGCTAGCCTGGGTGCCAGACTGTTGCCAGGGCCAAAAAATAGGCTAGATCCTGAGCACCAGGACCCTGGGAACAGTCTGGCATCCGGGCTATCCAACTGCTTTTTGTTTACTTGCCTTTCCATGTGAAGTCAGGTACACAATCATGCGTTCTTCTCTTACAAAGTGTCCCAGTGTCCCAGTGTCATTCAGTACTCAAGAGCCTTATAAATTACGACTGATTTGCATCAAGATTTTGTAGTGGTTCTCTGAAATACAAGAGTTGTAATGGCGCAGCTAATAATATAGGTGTACAGGTGTACCTAATACTGTAATTCACTTAATGTTCACGGTAGCAAAAGTTCACGGTCTGAGAAAATGGACATGTTCACGGAACTACATATTCACAGTGGCGACAGGTGCAGGAAAAATGAAGTCCAGGAATTATAATGATAAGTTTACAGTAATGACAGTGAAAACAGTAAACATAAAAGTGTTGTAATGTGTTGTTAGGAGACAGTCCCCCATGTCCCCTGTGACAGGAAGTCATCATAACTGTCACCAGACTGACCACATCTGTAACCGATTACTATGTGTGAATAAAGGACTCAGACCACAGTGTCTGAGAGACAGTTCTAGCAGGCAGCCACTGAGTGCGGACATCTTCCATAGACTCTCCTTTCTATACTCTACAAAACTACTGTGAAAAAATCAGTAATTACAGTATTTAGAAAGTTCGGGTACTTTTGTTGTTCGTCCGTCGTAGTCGACGATGACCAATGAACATCACATCAGGTCTTGTGTGTCCGGCTGTGGCTCACAAGTCCTATACGGGCTCTGAAGGTTCTGCCACAGGTCGGGCACAGGTGGGTTTCTGGAGTCCGGGATGTGGGGGCAGCTCTGGAAGCGCGTTTCCTCACGGCTTCTGCGATCCTGGTTTGCTCGTAGAGAGTAGCACCGCTGCTGATGTGGCTGCGCCAGGCAGCACGGTTTTGGGCTGCTGATTCCCAGGTAGATGTGTCTATCTTGAAACTCTGAAGAGAGGTTTTCAGTGTGTCCTTAAAGCGCTTTTTTTGTCCTCCTACTGAGCGTCCTAATTACTCAGGTACTTAATGAGATGCAGACAGAAGAAGCCGGAGTGTCTGAAGTACGGGGATAAAAGATGAAGCATCCGGCATCTTCCTCTAATGGCCTCCTCTTCAAACGTCATGAAAAAAATGAGACTCACTATTTAAGTACTGTACACTCACACACTCTCACTTGTTCCTCTTCACACGAGGGTTAGACATGTTCGTCCCAACAACCAGCACAAATAATAATAATAATATGGGTTTTTATGCTATCATGAAAGTTCATCTGTCATGTCACACTTTCAACCAGTCACTCTGGTCTTCCTCATTAGACTGACCCAGTGTTGACGTCACACTTCAAAGAAGCCACATGACAAGCCTCAAATTTTAAAGTTTCCTTCTTTTCTTGCAGAGGCCAGGCCTCCTCCAGCAAGCCTCGGTAAGACCAGAGTGATCTCCACCAAGGCGAGACCGTCTCGGCCGGTCAGCGCGCCGGTTCGGAGAAAACCGCCGCCGCCGCGCCCGTCGCTCAATCCGCCGTTCCTGGCATACGGAGGAGGGGACCGCGAGAGGGTCACGGGTGACAAACGGACCTTCAACGTCCGAGCCTCCGTCAGGAATAACGAGGAGGTTCGTTACTGTAATTACATTGTATTACCTAATAGTATGTGAAAATGTAGGTATTGTTTTTGGTCTGTCTTTGTGTGCGCACTTGTGCCTTTTTTTCTGTGTGTGTGTGTGTGTGTGTGTGTGTGTGTGTGTGTGTGTGTGTGAAAACTGCTCAGTGTACTAGTATCTGGACCTGTTGACAGCTAAGAAGCCTGGCACCCAGGTTGTTCAACAATCGAGCATACTGTCCATCTAAGGCTGGATGGAACCCAGGCTATAAGAACTGCTCAAAACTACCTGCTAACCCAGGCTGTAAGGACTGTTTAACATTGGAGCATACTGGCCACACTAAGAAGCCTGCTCAGTATGAAACTGCTAAGCCTGGTACCCACATTGAAGCATACTGGCTGCACTAAGACAGAAGAAGCCTGCTCAGTGTTGGTGAAACTGCTGACAGCCAGACCCCGGGGACTCCAACAGGTGGTTGCCATGCTCTGTCTTTAGTTCTCCCCAAGCCTGCGGATTCCTGGATGGTTGTCAGATGCAGGTATGCGGCCTGCCTCTCATTACCACATCACTACCACATCACTGACACTGCAGCTTGGCTCCAGTCACAACGTAAAGGCCTAGGGAAAAAATGTTGTGTTTCCTGTTTTACCAACAACCCTAGAAACAATTGCTGACCGCAGCCTTTTTTGGGGTGGATCCCTGCAAGGGACATACATTTTTCAAGCTGATTGAATCTTTTCTAGCTCCATGATCTGACACCTGACTGATAAAATGCTGTACAATCAGTTTTTCAACATTTTTTTGAAAATGCATCTGTATGTCCTCATGCAAGTTTTACCTTGTTAAACTGTATTGTATACATAGGATCACATGTTGGATCACTAGAAATTGCCAAAGTCTTCTAATAAAAAGAAAGAAAGAAAAAAAGATAATCCCTACCTACCAACCTAACTTTTTTTGCAGGCCAAAACAGGAAACACAACATTTTTTTCGTAGGCCTAAACGGTGAGAGAGCATTGTGTTGTCATCGCCGGGGCACTCAGTCACCAAACGAGCTGAAATGTGCCAACTCCACTGCCACCTTCTCTTTTACCAATATAATCTGACACCGTTGGCAGACGACTTGCCAGGCTGGCTGAAATGTGATTATAATACAAGCCACATTATTTTCCCCGGGCCCAAATTGCGAGCAATGTTCCCAAATGGAGTCACAGACAATGCGTTGGCTCCCGGTGATGGCAACGGGATCCCTGGAAAATTGCCTCTTTCCAAATGTTTTTGGGCAAACCGGTTTTTGATGTATTTCATATATTATTATAGCACAGTGAGTTCGGACCATTTCCCACAAGGCACGCACAGTTGTAATACACCGGTGAAGAAAGTTCAAAGACAATAATCTTGGATGTGTTTGATCTCCTGTGCGGAAGACATGTGTGTTTGTGTGATGGATCTTGGCCCCTGAATGAGAAGACTATCCTCCCCGGCCAACCAGGCGAACCGGCTTGAGCAAGACGGACAGACCGCAGCGACACGTGCAGCATCCGCAGACACCCTGTTTTCTGCGGGGTTCAGAGATTGTGATTATGTCATGAATCACAGCAGGGCTCGAGCCCAGCCGGCACTCAGTTTTCCCTCAATTGCAGGAACTTTGCAGCGTGTGACGGAAAAAGTTTTCAACGAGGGCATGCAAGGGGGGGTCCCGACAACGCTCTACGCTGAATTCGGAAACCTCTCGATTACGCTTCCAAGTGGCTACAACGCATTACGTAGGATTAAAACGCCAAATACGCTCACCGCAAAAATATTAGAGCGGTCCGTCTACGCTCTACGTAGAATTAAAACGGCCGATTACGCTCTATAGAAAAGGGCTTGCGGGCCCCTTAAACCAATCCGTCAACCCTGACAGACAAAAATTTGGGGGAAAAATATAAAAACATCCAAGGGACCAGCGACAACCACTCTCAATCCCATGATTTGCCTCTCAAAATGTAGGAAACTGTGTTTTTAAAGGTATGAAAATCCCAAATTTGCTCTTGGATCCTCCTAGATTGTAACTGCGAGCACTCTCCCCCCTGGTCCAGAAATGATCCTGGGCTGACGAAAAAAAAATCAAGCTTGCTGGAGTCCTGACTCGCACGCGGCCACACTACTACACACCATTGGTCTCTCTGCAATCTTCTGGTCTGTATGCTGAGGAAATCGAAGCGTAAGACAAAGTGTCTAAGAGAAATATAATAACCCATACCAAGATTTGTACACTGTGCCCTGGTGGACTGCAAGAAGTAGATTGGCCAGTTTTTTCACACTGACCCTGACCTAACAGCATACATCAATGTTAATGATGGAAGACATGCATGTCACTTCCACAATTCCTTCAATACTTTATTATATACAGCACATACAGTATTGTATTGTTCATATCTATTTATTGCATCACAGTTTACAGTTTTATTTCTTTCAAAAAATCTCTCAAAAAAATCTTTAACACTCTTTAGACTGTCTCGCCCAAAGATCTGGCTGTATTACAATGTACATAAGGAGGGCCCGCATGGAGGGTCCCGACAACACTATACGGTCATCTACACTAAATATTGAGAGCCGGCTACTGTTATGCTGCAGTAGCGATTACGCTTTACGATAAATTCCAAGTGGCTACAATGCATTACGTAGAATTAAAACTCAAATTACGCTCTATGCAAAATGCGCCAATTATGCTCTACGTTGAATTAGAGCGGTCTGTCCTACGTTCTACATAGAATTAAAACGGCCGATTACACTCTACGGAAAAGGGCATGTGGGCCCCATCACTGTCAGTATCCCACTGTGTCCTGCTTGCGCCAGTTACAAAAATGTACATCTTGTACAGCAAATTTGCACCAGCCTGCGTTAGGGTACCATCAGGATTTAGCTCTTTCACTATCAAAAAAATCTAATAAAGCTGTGAAGTGTTTTACTGGTGACCTGATGGGGAAATAGGTCAAACTACAGACTGGTCAACATTACTGCTGACCTGCAGGATGTTGACCTTTACTAACTGCTGATGAGTTGCATGGAAGATGGTTAGACATCTAGGTAATAGAAAACTGTTACTCAAACAACTGGATAGATTTTGTGATAGTTCTCTTCTATACTAATGATATGATACAGCATATTGGTCTAAATATAGGATTGACAAAGTTGTTCCTTTACAAATTTCCCAGTTCTGCTATGTACAATGAATGGAAAATTGTGTCTGATGTTTGATGGACATGTTACATGTGTGCGAGTATGTGTGTCTGTGTGTGTGTGTCTGTCTGTCTGTCTGTGTGTCTGTGTGTGTGTGTGTGTCTGTGCATCTGTCTGTGGTATAGCTTTACAGACTAGACTGTAAATTATATAATGTATAATAGTAGAATAACTGAATAGGGCATTGGAGATAGAAGAGTCTTGTAGGGCACATCAAAAAACAATATTGGCCGTTGACATGACTCTTACAAGCTCCGCCAAAAAAGATCTCACTTCTCTCACTGGTGGGCTCCAACCAAACATGGTGCTATAGTACGGATCTATTTTGGTTTTTCTCCTCATCTCTTATCTTGTTGTCAGGAAGGAATTAAGTTCTAACAGCTGGCCTTTAATTCTGTCGCTGGGGAGATAGGGGAGGTATGGGCCTGGAGCGGGCTTGGAGCAGGCAGCTTGGGCGTGGCGAGCCTAATCAGGACATACTGATGGTATCTCGTGGTGAAAAATTGATAAATCAAAGTGCTTTCCCCTGGCCAATGGTGACATCTGGGCTGCTTCTACTGTTTTAATGAGGTTGAGACAGAGCTGCACATGTTTTGTTGTTGCCCTTGGTAGTGTGTGAGGGTGTGTGTGTGTGTGTGTGTGTGAACACAATAACTCGAGAAGGCTTAGGCAGATTGTCTTGATATTTGGTACTTGGGTTGGTCTTCGTGAGACCTCGAAATGATCAGATTTTGAGCCCCCTGGCGTCTTCTTATGGGACTGCAATAGAACAGTCCTGGTTTGTATATTTGTGAGCCAGCCCTAATCAGGACATACTGATGGTATCTCCTGGTGAAAAATTAATAAATCAAAGTGCTTTCCCCTGGCCAATGGTGACATCTGGGCTGCTTCTACTGTTTTAATGAGGTTGAGATGGAGCTGTGTGTGTGTTTTGTTGAGGATTTGTGTCTGTTGTTGCCATGCAGGTGTACATTTCATTACCTTCGCCAAGAGGGTTATGTTTTTGGTAGCATTTATGTGTTTGTGTGTGTGTTTACTGTTGACAGTTATGCTTGTGGTTATCAGTTTATTTTTGCTGTTTACAGTTATGTTTGTCATTGTGAAATAAAAAGTTTAGTCTTTATGAAATAATAAAGACAATAAATAAAGACTAAAATAAATAAATTTTTTCTTAGAAGAGTTTAGTCTTTATGAAATAATGACTTTCATGCTAATCTGTGTTTGTCCTTGCCAGTTTATGTTTGATGTTGACATTTTATGTTTGTTGTTTACAGTTCTTGTTTGTTGTTGACAGTTTGTGTTTGTCGTTGCCAGGTGTACCTGTCCGCCCTGCGTGCGCTGCGGAGACGAGAGATGCAGGTAAAGTCGGCGCTGGAGGCGAGACACCGCGACGCGCAGAGACGAGTGGCGCTCTCCCGGAGCCGGACGGTCCCCCCGCCCAGGTCAGACACTTCGCAGTGGAGGACAGAGTACCAAAGCAACTACCAGCCCCAGTCTGCAGCCTGACACATGTGTACTGTGCCTACATGTATCTAGTTCTACCCCCGGTATGCCTGAATGAGTTAGAGTTTAGTCTCTACCAGACTAACTACGCTGGCTATATATAGGAGAATATTTTCCGGGGGAGTTTGGCCGCCTTGGGGTTTGACTTCGGAGGGAACGAAACTACCTCCCCGCGGCCGGACTCCCCTGGCCAATTTGATTTTCTTTTTTGCCGAATTCTATCATCCGTATTCCCGTAGAAAGGCCTGGTGGAGGCTAGTTAGGGTTAGGGTTAGGGTTGGGGTTAGGTTAGGGTTAGGGTTAGGGTTAGGCTCAGATGATGCTTCTGGATAGTCTCTGCGTATCCAAGAACAATACATTTACCAGAGCAACTACCAGCCCCAGTCTGCAGCCTGACACATGTAGAGTGTCTACTAGCATCTAGTTCTGTACCTGAATGAGTTATGGTTACGGTTAGGGTTAGGGTATTACTAAGGGATATGGTTCTGGATAGTCTCCTCGTATCCAAGAACGTACTTCAAGCCCCGGTCTGCCGCCTGGCACATGTGTACTGTGCCTATCTAGTTCGATGCCTGAATGAGTTAGAGTTAGGATCAGGCATGGTTCTAGATAGTCTCTGCATATCCAAGAACATACATTTACCAGAGAAAGTACCAGCCCCAGTTTGGACGTGTACTGTGCCTATCTAGTTCTATGCCTGAATGAGTTAGGTTTAGGGTTAGGGTTAGGGTTAGGCTCAGATGATGCTTCTGGATAGTCTCTGCATATGCAAGAACATACATTTACCAGAGCAACTTCCAGCCCCAGTTTGGACGTGTACTGTGCCTATCTAGTTCCATGCCCGTAGCCAGGATTTTTAAAGGGGGGGGGGTTCTTCCCACTGCTTGAGGGGACCAGCGAGCGCCCAAGGGGTTCCGGGGGTATGCTCCCCCTGAAAATTTTGAAAAATGAACCTTCTGACATGGCATTTCCTGCGTTTTTGAGAGGATTTCTGAGAAAAAATCAGAGATAACTTTTTATTCAATGACAAAATAGGCAGTTTTTAAACGATTCCAGCCCCGCTGGTGATACGAATCAGTCCATCTAGAAAAGAAGAATCTTGGACCTTTAGATAAAAAGTGGACTAAAAAGTGGACCTTTGAGCCTTGTGGGGGGTTCTTCCGACCCCCCGAACCCCCCCTGGCTACGGGCATGAGTTCTATGCCTGAATGAGTTAGGGTTAGGGTTAGGGTTAGATGATGCTTCTGGATAGTCTCTGCGTATCCAAGAACATACATTTATAATTACCAAAGCAACTTCCAGCCCTAGTCTGCCGCCTGACAGCCCTGCACTGCATCCAGAACCGTGCCTGAGTCTGTCAATTATCTTGTTTTTGTCCAGGCCTGTTTTTGTCCAAGGGTACAACAGAAGTTGAAGGTTGGAGTAATTAGGTCACGTCAATCGAGCACGTCTGCTTTTCCGCATTCATTTCGAGGTGGAAGGGTCATTGTATATATCTAACGATGTCTATCTAGTTCTGTGCCTAAATGGGTTAGGGTTAGGATCAGACACGGTTCTGGATAGTCTCTGCGTATCCAAGAACATACATTTTCCCCAGGCCTGGTTCTGGATATGCATGGACTATCCAGAACCGTGCCCGGGCATGATTCTGGATAAAGCACGATACTGGATATACATGTATAGCATGGTTCTGGATACTTGTGGACTATCCTAAACGGTGCCTAAGCATGGTTCTGGATAAAGTACTGTTCTGGATAAAGCAATTGGTTCTGGATATAGCATGGTTGTGGATACAGGTGGACTATCCTAAACAGTGCCTGAACATGGTTCTGGATAAAGCACTGCTCTGGATAAAGCATGGTTCGATCTGGATATAGCATGGTTCTGGATACTTGCGGACTATCCTAAACAGTGTCTGGGCATGGTTCTGGATAAAGCATGATTCTGGATACACATGCATGGGCTATCCAGAACCGTACCTAAGCACAGTTCTGGATACATGTGGACTATCTACAACAGTGCCTGTGCATGGTTCTCGGAAACAACAAGGTGCGGCCTCCAGCCCCGTGAGTCGGCTGTACGTCAGGCAGAGTTGCCCACACTGTCGGTACCAGCGGGGCTCCTCTAACCTACAGCACAGACAAGTTCACCCGCTGCCAAAACTGGTACCTGCAAATTGGCAAGTCGTGCAGACAAGGGGAGACACAAACTACGAGACACAACTGTTGTCAATTAAACTACTGCCGCTTGGAGGGTTGCTTTTTGCTAAGTATAAACCTGCATTTCTCCTCTGGTCTCTCAGTCACTGACGAAAGCTGGTGGATGCTACCTGAAACGTCTGACCGTTTCCAAAATCATATCCAGTTGCTTGAGTAATAAGAGTTACTGTTTTTTGGAGTATCTTATTACCTGGATGTCTAACCTTCATCGACGCAGTTGCTTGTACATTCTGCCGTGCGGACGTGAGATAATTTGCGACGATGCTAAAAAAGAACATTATTATGGACGAGGGTCATTTACAACTTTTATGTCGCAGGCATCAGTAATCAATGTGGGAGATCGCGCCATTAGGAGGGGGAGAGTAGATGAGGTTATCGGAAAATTGTGGCAGCATCGATTGTACATTGTAATATTAATGGCAAATGGAAGAATGGGGGGGGGGGTGGCGGGTGTAAATGTTGGATGGGAAGGTTCCCCAGGTGTGCCCGGCGAAATTAACCGGTGGATGAACGATCGGCAACCCGGCCGGGCCGGGTCAAAAGGCCAGATCTGACGATACTCCGCTCTCTGTCAAACAATACGTCCTCCTTTGCACATACCCGTAGCCAGCACGTCTGCAGCGCGGAACCCTGGATTTTCGCGGTTTTCGTTGGATTTTTGGTCAACGTTGCATCAGAATTTTGCCTGTTGCAGACGATATCTTTTAAGACATAACATTTGGAAACTACTGTCAGAATGCTAACTTTATATGAGCAAATACAACCTTATATGAGACGTTCTGCCAAAATGCTATGTACAATACATTATGGGTTTTGCACAGGTGCAGTACGTTCTGCCGACGTGCTCCCGTAGCCTGGGTTCCAGACCTATAGCACACTGGACACAAAATATCTCAGTGAGCTCACTGAGATATTTTGTGTCCAGTGTGCTATGGGTCTGGAACCCAGGCTAACATACCCTTGGTTTTGTACACATATCTACTACACTGATGAAGGTTAGACATCCAGGTAATGAGATACACAAGGAATCAGTTTTGAAAATCTAAGCAATTGCTTTAGCTTTACTTGCAGGGTTTAGAATACCCCATGCACACAGGTAGAATGGATACTTGCAGGGTTTAGAATACCCCATGCACACAGGACTCAGAATAGGACAAGGCTGCCAGGAACGACTGCGATACCTTATCAAGGTTCACAGGCTCGATTATGCAGTGGTTAGGACAGGGGAGAAGAGATAGGACAGCCAGCTGCATACAGGTGGCATATATGACATACAGTTATGTTGTATATATTGGGACCTGACTATGTAATTATTGTACATGTATGATTTTACTATGGAGGTGATATGATATGGTTCCTAGACACATAATTATCTATACATTGTACATACCGTGGTCAATATTGACCGAATGAGGCCATGTGAAGCATGATTTTAAACAGCTTTTAATAAGAAATAACTGTTAAAGGAATAACAGTGAATCATGGTAGAAATATTTGACAAAGAAATATTGAAGAATAAGTTGATTAACTCTGTAAATCTATAGAGTGACAGAAAGGGAGACCCTTTCTACATGTATGAGACTATTTTCTGGTAATTGTAATTAGTAGTTTTGCCTGTCATCTGGTGTAGGATCTAAAGGAAGAATAACATTAAATCATGATAGAAATATTTTGACAAGGAAATATTGAAGTTACTTTTCTGTGGAATCAATTGTGGAGAACCTTTCTACATGTATGTGTTGTGTTGTATGAGATTATTTTCTGTTACGTTTGCTCCCCTGTCCACGTTTGGCCTATAATCACTTCAATCATGATAGATTCAGTATTTGACAAAGAAATATTTAAGAATAACTTAATTTAATTAATTTAATAGAATAACTGTAACCCAAAACATGTAAGTGGCTCTCACGAGCCTTGTTTTGAGGTGAATTCTGAAGTAAATAAAAAAAAAAAAAAAATTACTGTGTAAATTAAATTTTGTGACGGAAAGGAAAAACCTTTCCATATGTCTGCCTACCTGCCTGTTGTATGTGACTATTTTGTTGTACATGTACAGTGTAGGTGTGCTCCCCTGTCCATATTTGTTTTTCCTGTAAGGCCATGTTGATTTGAATATATGGATGACATCCTCCGGGAACCCCAAAATTGATGCGCGCGTGCGAATAAAAAAAGGTTTTGCACAAAAAAAAAGTTGTTTTCATTCTGAAATCTACGTGGTCATGAGGGTTTAACAAATGGGACAGAATATGGTTTGGCGAATAATCTAGTCTTCAAGTTAATTTCTTTACAATTTCGTCTTTTTTCGTTTGATTTTGGCATTCTATGACATAGGTATGGTTTTTTTGTAACTTACGTATATTTTTGCTCATTTTGCAACTGTTTTGTACGATTTACAGTATGGTTGAAAACTTTTTTTTTTTTGTGAAACGGCCGAAAATTCATGCGCGCGCGGATGTCATCCATATTTTGGATTTGATTTTATAATCAAATCAACATGGCCTAATCTGCAGTAGGATCTAAATGGCAGGTAGTGGAGATGGTTGGTGCCGATGAACCCAGGGTCGGGCGGGCCGGGGTGACGTAGGGGATCGCCGGGTGTGTCTGCCCCGCGCGGCAACGGAATATTAACCACCCAAAATGAAGCCATTTGTCTCCTCTCCGGCCTGTCAGTTCCGTTAAGGTCCTTTGTACGGTCCCTTGAGATTAATGGAGTAAGCCGGTGGATATGTGATGTCAGTAACTCACTTGTGGCTGCCGTGTCCAGCTATTCTTATTGACTCTAACTCTCCATGCAGATGTTTTGAGTTTTAGCTTATTTTTGGCGTGTTTTTAGGCTTTTTATTGGGCTCTCTTTCGTGCATTGGTATCTTTTTTTATGCCACCCCCCCCCCAAAAGATACCAGTGCAAAATAGAAAGCCTGATAAAAAAGCC